CACCGTCTTGTCATCCATATCTTTTGGGCACAAAATTTAGACACAATTTAGGCACAAAAAACTGGATTATCATGTCGCGGTAGCGAGCACCATTAACTGTTATTGCCTGACCAGCCGCATTTTCTTCCGAAGAATGGTCCGATGATGCCTCCAGCCCAAAATCCGCACCAAACAGTGACACGTTGCACTGGATATGCATTTGTTTCTCAACAATCACTCGTGGATCATCTGAACCCCAAATGCGACAATTTCGTCGATTAACCAAACCATCAAGTTGGAAATGAGCCTCATCGCTGAAGATGATTTTGTTCGAAAAATCGGCATCCACTTGTTGTTGTTCCATAATCCACTCAACGAACTCTCTTCGCTGTGCGTGGTCAGTTTAAAAACCCTAAACTGTCAGTTGTCACGCTGTCTTTTTTTATCGTTGGCAACACTTTACCGCACAAACGGCGCAAAATTCCAATTTTGCGTGAATTTTGGGACACCTTTCATATTGGATATATCGTTTAGTTCTTAGCTTTCTTTCTCCAGCTTGCTTGTTCCAACTGTTTGTTACGGCCGATATTCTACGAGACTTTTATTCCTTCGTACAAGTCTTTCGAAGAACAAGGAGGAAGCTCACCTGTCCTCCTCTTCTCTTTCCTTTCGCGTTGTTCGCGAATTTCTTTTGATAAAATAATACTTACCCTTTTATCTTACACTTCCACTTACCAATCCACCTTGCAATTTCAACCTTATCATCATCGTGTAATGTGTACATACGGTATGTCGAGGGCTGGAGCAAGCGTGAAAATGATTGCGCAAGAGGAAAACAAAACTGACGCTTCGATAGAAACGAGAGTGCTCAGCGTGTGTAGGTGATCGTACGTGTGTATGCGCATGTTTGTCAATTTGTTCTCATGACGCATACACGTCACGTAAAAAGAGGATTGAGGGATTATGAATACGCGGATGATGAAAATTCGTGAATAGCAACGAAAACCGTATGACTCTCGTTGATGGATTTTGCACGACGGTGCTAGCTAGCGGATGAAAATGCGTACGTCCATACGTATAATCGATTCTTCTCGTAACGCGCGGCGTGCGCTCGCGACGATCGATGTGGTCTCCCTCAAATATTTACAGCGATTCTGGATCATTCAGCGATTACGAGCGTTCGCGCCGCCACTTTGCAGCGATCAATCCATAATAATTTACATGGCGCCCCGGAAATCAAACTCTGGCGATTAGCTTCGTTAATGATTGCGGCACGTCGAGATAATCGACGGGCGATGAATAATTTAATCGGCTATGGCTTCGCGCTACTGCACTTAGGTCACGACTCGACCGTGACTAGTGTATAGTGTCGTATTAAAGTGCATGCGCCTTAATTTTAAACTCGTCTGTACTCGTCTAAACTCGAGTCTGACTCGAACAAAATACAATATGCAGCTGCCTCTTGGCTTACTTTCAGTCGCAAATTCCTCAACTCGTTCGAAACAAACGTCTTTCTTTTTTCTTTCTTGCCCTTTTTTCCTCTTTCTCTTTCTGTCTTTCTCATTTTCTTCTTTTTTCTTCCTTCACGAGAAACACGAACCGGCGGCGTTATTTCGGCTGAGTCTCGGTGAGTTTCATTCTAACGGGGGATTTTAATTCGCGGATTGCTCACGTAGAGTCGAATGTTGAAAAGTTCAGGAGAGAAGCGCGTCGTCCAATTAAATTTGCACTAAGAAAAAGAGTCGACTCTCTAAATTAGTCAAAGGATGTGTACACAAAAGAGAGCCCAGGGAGAATCTGGAACACGCTGTGTGTATGATTAACGACGTTACTTACCTTATATTGCGCGCGCAAATTTATTTACTAATATTTACTTTTTCGCTACGGCTCTCTGATGTTGTTTGCCGTGAAGATATTATATCTTGCATCATGGTCTATCACGAGACCGGCGCAGAATTTGCGCCAGTGCTCGTTAACACAAAGCCAATGCCTCGCGACGTTAAGTTTCAAACGTAATTTTGTCGCATTCGTCGTCGAGCGTACGTCATTAGCTTGACGAACAGTGTCAACGGCGACAAAGCTAAGCATGCGACGGCGGAGAATTACTGCGTTTTCAAAGCAATCACGTTGTCTCGCAGCGGAGATGCTCGTCCCATTTTCACAAATTAGTCGGTCACGATTGTCGCTTAACGATAGCGCTCGCTCCTGCGCGCGCGTGCTCCTTTTTTCTTCTTGTTACGCTGTCATTTAAGCCCTGATATACTTTTGTTTCTTCTCCGTCCTGCTCTCTCGAAGAGCAGAGGGAAGACGATTCGGCGCACGTTATTCGAGCGCGACGTTATTACAAACTTGCGCTAATAGCGCTAACCGCAACTGTAAAGCCGAAGCAAGTATCGCCAACAAAGATCCCGCGGAGCGTAATCGAGGATTAACGCTTATAACCGTTGGCCGCGAATCGATGAAAGTACAGGGCCTAAAATAACGTCCCGCTCCACGTGGATTTAATGGGCGGTTGATGCCGTAAGTGCAGCTCTCGTTTCGCGATGTTATAGCCATAGCACGAACTCGTCAATTATTTCGCGAATGTACGCTCCCTCGATAACCGCGCGCGCGCGCGCGCGCGTACCGAACTATTTTGCATATTCCCACACCTCCCCTCCCCACCCCCCGACGTGTATCTCCAAAGAAGAGAACTCGCCGGCTCTCGCGCGCGCGCGCGCGCAACTGATAAAGCCACTTGTCCTTTTCTTTTTGCTCCTCCGCCTTAGGTTTCTTCTTCTTCGTTCGTGTTCCTTCGTTCGCGTTTCACCGACGAGAGATCATTATTTGCGGCGATAGAGCGCAGAGCCGATAAGCTCGCGCATTCATAGTCTCCCGAAACCGGTTAAGTTTTTCCGAAACGATGCCGACCGAACGGCATCGTTTTGAGTATGCGCCCGCGAAAGTATGTCGGAAGATTCTCCCTCTTGGCGAACCAATCCTGCCCCTGCCCCGACTTGCGATCTTCCGGTAGTTTTGCGACAGTGCGGTAACTCGATCTTTTTCAGCCATTTCGCGTGGCTCACTGATAACTTGCTCCTTTTTCCTCTCTTTCCCTCTCATTTTCTCGCTGCTACTTAGCTCGAAAACATTGTGAACGCCGGTATTTTTGGACGTCCTCTCGGGAGGGAAATGGAATGGAACGAAAGCGTATTGCGAGCGGCGAGCGAATTTTGTATTCGTTAATTGTTCTTAACGTTTAGGAGGATAATATATATGTGTGCGTGTGTGTGTGTGTGTGTGTGTTAAGAATAATTTACGAGTATACCATATAATATATCTTCCATTCCGATATTCCTTCAGAGAGAGAACTCTCTGAAGATTGAGGAAAGCAAACGGCGAGCTCGACGATCCTCTATTAGAGGACTTTTGGACTTTGCATACTTTCGCTGTATGTAGCTACGTACCTGTTTCAAACTTGGCCGACGGAATCTTCGGCAGTGAGGGAAACGGGGTCGGCCAGAAGAGGTAACCGTGGAATCGTTTCGCGGGATTATCGTGCTGGACTTACCGCCGGAAATGATTTCCGCGGCTAATTGAGCGTGCTCGACTGCCTCGCGGCTCGATTACTTCTCAAACTTAGCGTGTCGTAGCGACACGTTTTCCTCTCGCGAGAATCGTGGCGGAAATTTACCGCCGGCCGGCTCTATTGAAAATTCTCGCGAGTCCCGCCATTTTGCCTTCGTGATGGCCCATCGGTGGTGAATAAGTTGCAAATACCGGAGCCAAACGGCAGATCCCATTAGATCTTAATTTTCTGACCACGAAGCAGACAGCATCGATATTGTCTCAGTTTGTTGTTTCAGTTGGCACTCCACTTTATTACAAGCAAAGATTTACCTAAGTTGGTGAAACTTTCTCTCTTTCTCTCTCTCTCTCTCTCTCTCTCTCTCTCTCTCTTTCCCCCAACAGAATCGTGTCGATTCCTTTCCTCGTTCCTTTTATTCATCCAACGATAACGAGATAACGACGATGCTGTCGATGCAAAAATCACGAGAAATAATTCGAACTTGTAGCCCTGTAAAATAGAAAGCCAAATATTGCGCTAAAAAGCGATTATTTCGCGGAGCTAGACGTATTAAAATTTTGGTATCTTTTATTTTCGCGAGTTTTACATCAATGAAATAATGCCGAACATCGTTCGGCAGGCGTAAGAGATACAAAGACCGAGTTTACATACTTCGCGAGAGCAGACGAAAGAAAGAAACGCGTCCCCCCCCGTTGTAGCCTTGCGATAATTTGGATTGCGATTCAATCGGAGCATTAGTCGACTGGATATCATGAGGTACGATCATTGACCGTTCCATCTGCAGGTATTGCGATATCATTCGATTATGATGCTTGGGTGAATCGTAATTATGTTCTCTACATTCGCAGCTGGAGTGGGTGACAGTCTGACGAGGGATAGCTACGACGGGGCGTTAGGAGCGGAATAGGTCGTCTTAACAGCCCTGGAGACACGGATGGCACATAGAATAATAGGTTACTCCGGCAACGTGGGTTAGTCCCTGTTAGCAAGACCGAGAATGCACAATGTATGCAAACACTGTAGCGGCCCCGTATTCTCCCGAAATGCTCGAATTACTGTTCTTCGTCCAATAGGATGCTCGCCTAGCTGTCAGGGTGCTTTTGCAGCTCTCTTCGAAGCTAATGGAGAGACGCGACGATCTGTTTTCCTTAAAGCACTTCAGCCATCTCGCGGCGCGTTTATCTCGGGGAAATGGCGCGATACGTCTCGCCGGTCGCAATTTTCTTTTTGCGAAATATATCGTCTCCCCTGACGGCGCGATGTCGACGCGTCTCGGCGTACCGAGGCCGACACTGAATGTTGGCATTTTCTGCCGTTATTAAACGCCCGCCATTTCCCGTAATTACTCGCTCGCTCGTCGCTGTGTCAAAAGTGCGCGATACTCACCTTGGCGGGAGGATGCAAATGTAGCGCAAATGTAGAAGAAGAACTGTTGTTATTATATATTTTCGGGAAGCCGTGAAGGATCGAAGGTTTCTCGCAGTCGCTTTACTTTAGTTTAAGCGGAGAATAATTGAGCTGTACTTGACTGTAGTTGTGTACACGACGTGTAAGCGACGTAAATCGAATCGTATTATGTCGGGCGTTAAGTACGCGTCGCACTCGCACAGCGAGTGCGGCGCTCGTGCCGCGTTCTCACGTAGCGAGATTTCTTTCCTGTTAAAAGTGGAGAGAGAGAGTACGGGGGATATAACGCAACGCGAGTACACACGTTGCGCGAATAAATTCTCGTCTCACGTACCGCAGGAATTTCGTACCTCCTCGTATCGCACCGTCTCACGATTCTTAATGGGAGAGGGGCATGGAAGGGTCAAGTGGACAACGACAAGCGAATGAGCTCGTTTGTGTAAAACAGATGAAACGTATTCTCTTTATTCGTATTCGTATGCCATCGAGCTTTTTTTATCTTACGTCGATCGGACATATCTCGACTTAACGTGTAACGGATTGAAATTCGGACATTAGTGACTATAACTCTAGGACCAGGCTCGTGTCTATTTACAATAGATCTTTGTACAAAAACTAGTTTCATATATAAACAGTAAAACCCACGTCCGTGTGCCGCGTCGGCTGATCGGGAACGAAGACGTCGCTCCTTTTAAGGGGAGAGGATCCTCTCGAGTTTCGGCGAAAAGCCTCCCTCGAACGAATAACGCTTTTTCTCTCGGGTCGTTATAAAAAATTTTGCGTACGAAAAACATGAGCAGTGATGAGCTTCGAATACGATCACATTAATATCGTTAGTATTTCGAGGATAAGGCCGGACAAGCTACGTTCGCGAAAACATGCACACACGCACATACGCACACACACGCGCACACGCATTCCTCTCCTCTCTGCTCTCCTCTCTTCTGTTCCGTGTTCTCTCTCGCAGGAGACTGCGAGAGTAGTAGTCCGACTCGAAAGTAGTTTGTAGATTGTAAAAGTTCCAAAAGAATTTCCGCGTGAGGTCCGTAAAAAAGACATTCTGCGCGCGACTCTCGCGAGTAATCGGGAGTATGAATAAAGTATAAAGCGCCGTTGTGAGATATCCTTCAGCCCGCACGCGCGCGCGCGCGCTTCGATCCAGCCTCATCTCTCTCGTTATTGACATTAACTACTTAGGGGTTAGACTCTTTTGTACGTACGATATACCACTTATATCTCAGTAATGTCAGTAAAGAAATATCTCCGGACGTGTACGGGGCTTCTTCTCTAAGACTCGCTCTAACGACGTTTATTTCGTCTCTCCTGCGAAATTATGTACGAAAACATGCCCACTCCCCGGCGACGGCGAGATCGGTGTAACGTAATATCGAGGAGAGACCGCGTTCCCGTCAATACGATCCGGAACACTCCAACCAGCCTCTACGGTTTTGTACAGTAAACGTTAAGTTAAGTATTTCTCTCTCTTTCTATCGAAAACGTACACACCACACACACACTCTCTTCCTCTCTCTCTCTTTCTCTCTCTCTCTCTCTCTCTCTCTCTCTCTCTCTCTCTCTTATACCAACTATTGGGAAGATGCCACGTTAGACCTCGCAATCGCGTCTCAGGAATCCACGGGTCTCTCTCGTTCTCTCTGCAACGCTTCTCACCGGCCGCGCGGGTTCGTTACATTTACGCTTGTAAATATAATCGTCGGCGACGGCGACAGCGGCGTCTCAGAAGCTCTCACGGGGGTTGATCCCGCGGGGAGTCCTTCGAGCTTATATACAACTCTCTTGTATCCGATTAGAGCGTGTCACCACTTCCGGCTGATGGAATTTGCCTTGCGCCGAGACCGATGACGAGACGGGCCTCTGCGGCATCGACGAGAGCCCTTTGCTCGTCCTTTGAAGGCTATAATATATCTGAAAGCATAAAAATACCACGCCCCGATGTTTCACCAGACTCGTCGGGTTGTTAGCCACCGTTGGGATCTGCGTCGCTGCGAGTCGAGTAATATTTATTTTGACAAACGAGGACTATACGTTCCAATTACTTAGACGCTCAAGTGGAGGGGCGGAGTTCTCTCGCTCCCTCGCTCATGTGTACCGTTTAATATTTTTTAACGTACACTGTGACGGACTCTGTTTATGAAACTTTTTGCAAATCATTTTTTAATAAACAAAGAGCGACGGCTGAAACCTTTTGAAAGTTACTCAGAAGAGTAACCTTTTTTATGATACAAGTCGAGATCAAGGTCACAGGAGGTGGGCCCTCCAATACGTTAAAGGTTCACCAAACAGGCTTCCGAGATAAAGGTTTCAAGAAGTTGGCTCGCAGCACGTAACAGCGCGCGTCATGGTGCGATTAACTTCTGACGGAGGAGAGCGCAAGTCGTACACGAGACGAGTAATGTGCATCAGGGCTGGGCTCGTCGAATTATCGAGAAAACTTGGACGTAATTAAACTTACGAAAGTGCAGACAACTCAAAGGTCTGCTCAAACCGGAAAAGTTAAAGTGGGGGACTGCCGCATATCGAGGCAAACGTTCCTCTTCTCGTCTGACTTTCCATCGCACCGCGCGCGCGCGCGCGCGCGCGCGGTCGAAGCTCCTAATATTTAAAACAACCCCACTGATTTAACGGCGCGAAAGTTAGAAGGGGCCGGTATTACGACGACGAAAACGGAGGTCGAGTCGGGGGTCAAGAATGCAGTGGCTGGTCGAGACGCTATTAATGAATGACGTAATTTCGTCTACTCTTTCCTTTTCTTTCTCTCTTCCTTCCCTCTCGCTTCCAACTTTGATTATTCACGGGCGAAAGCTACTAATGGAGAGAATCAAACAAATGCCATTGGAAAGTCGAACAGGTTACTGATTTTCCTACCGACGTATCACGATAAAGTCCTGATTTTATTGAATTTAATTCATGGATCCAGTGGCGAGGCTGAGAGAAAGGATCGGAAAGATCTGCGCGTCGCAGGTCGCAACATCTCGGCAGAATCCACTTACGTTTTGGTTGTTACGCTGATTGTACGCGTCCATTGCCATCTGCTTGAAATCCGCCATCGTGGGCGGATGATTGTAGGTGCTCTGCTGAGACACATGATTCTGTGGGTAATTGATGGTAGGCGTTGGCAGGCAGTCAGTGAGCATCGGATCCGACGGCAGGTCCAGACCGTGCTGAACGATCGGCCTTTTCTCCGGCGAGGCGTCCTCGTCGCTGGCGCGGTCTTTCTTCCGTCGTTGCGGCGGTGTCTTGTAGACGGGGGTGTACGTTAGGGGTCTTCTTTCTGCGAGCAGATTTCAAGAAGCCATGCATAGTCGGACGACTAAGCCGCTTAGTCGATTGTATCGAGGCAAAGCCGGTCATTTTATAAATGCTACCCTGTCTCGCGCGAGTGCGGCAAACATTAAGTCCCGTGTCCGACTTGCACCGTATCGTATCGTGTTTTTCATTACGACGCGAAAAAAGAGACTCGCGTCGCGAGGGTAGACTCGTTCTCGATCTCGCGAGACTCTCCCACTTGCGAAAATTGCGAAATCCATGCCAAGTGTTTCTCGAGATTTTCAAATATCAACGATCTACCTTCGTAGCCCGACATTATTATTATTATAATTATTATTAGTAATAATAATAATATATTATTTCGCACGACTCGCCCGCCGACGTAGGTATTATTTCATATTAATAACGCAAATGGAAACGTGTTTTCGTGGAAAAGGTAACATCGCGCTCAAATGAATTTAAATGAGAAGTTTGTTTCATGGACTTGCTTGTTACGAGCACGATAGCTAACGTGCTTGTTATTACTCCCGCCGCCGCTCGGAAAATGATATCAGATTAGAGTTTTATTATATTCGCGTTCACGCGCAGATTTCAAGCGCGCATTATGTGTTATTTCAGCGGCACATTCCCGCTGCGTCTGCGACTTTTTGCGCGAGTCTTAATTCGTCGTAGTTACGTAATTTAATTAAGCAAAAGCCTCATCGAATTATTACCGTTCGCCGCTACATCGACGCTTTAACGCACACTTTAGAACGAAACAAGGCTTCGACAGAACGAATGAGACCGGCCATCGGTAGGACGTGAATCCTATCGATAATTTAATTACACCACACGTTTATGTAGATTAAAGCGCGCGGCTTTGATGTATCTTGCAAAAGATCGATACGCATTGTAATATCCATATAGAGCCGGGAAAATATTCAACATATCTAAATAGACAGACGAAAGTTAGGATTGAGCAACGACAGAGCTAAAGTCGGTTTAATATGGAACACGTCAACGCGCCATCGCTCAAATCCCTACATTATTTATAAGCCTCTCCCAAAGTATAAGGGAGAGAGAGAGAGAGAGAGAGAGAGAACTGCGGTGACCAATCTTTTTGAATAAACCTTTCATGGTACACATATATAACTCACATACATACATATATACATATATATGTATATATATATATATATATACAGGGTGTCCGGAATGTGATCATTAATATTTTGTGTACTGGTAGATTGGGTGTAGCCGAGAAGAAAAGTCATGTACCATAATGTCAAATTGGCAATAGTTATCGAATTATTAGTTGAAACATGTGAGCCAATGAGCGCGTAGTGAGCGCTGGGTGGCCGCCTCTTGTTGCTTACGGTTGCCTCTCGCCGCGCGAGGTAAGCCATCTTCTTATACACAGAGCCCGTCCTGTCGCTTTCTCGTGCGCTCATTCGTTTACACATTTTAATTAATTACGGAATAAATATTGAAAAAATTGTAAAATGGCACAGGACTTTTTTAATTGTTTTAACGAGTTCTACCAGTACACAAAATATTAATGATCACATTCCGGACACCCTGTATATATAACTCACAATTTCATTATTTTTTGCGTTAGTTCCGGAATAGAGACCACGATCATATTTATTTCACCCGCTGTACGATACAGTATTCAACGAACCGCGAACCGCGAACAAAAGTTTTATTTTACTCAACATTAATCAAGTACAAAGTAAAATATATAATTGGGCGTATTTTCACCTCTCATTACGAGCGTGTCGTTACTTCGTGAAAAATCTCGTAAAACCTTTTCTCACTCGGAAATTCCGAGTGACACATCGAAAGGACAAAGATCGCGTTGTTTTTTCTAACTCTGTCTCTGTCGTTGAACCATTCACTGGTCTGTCCCGTGAAGTGGCGCGCGTGCGACGACCCAGCTAGATTCTCGTCGGCACGAAACAGAGCGAGCGAGTGTCGCGCGACTCCTTTTTTCCCCGACGATCGGAACATACTCGTACAGCGACGTACTCACCGTACTCGTTGGGTATGATGTCCGGATCGATGTCATCGACCGCCTGCTTGGTCTGAGGGTGCACCGGGGTGGTTGCACCTGCATTAGGCGGCTCGCACACGATGGGAGCGTGCTTTGGACTCCCGGGTCGGCCGGTGAAGTGCTTCCGGCAGAGCGCCACTACGATTACAGCTACGGCCAGGACCAAAAGGGTCGCCGTGGCTGCCAAGCCCAGCAACAACGGATTCAGCATCGATGCGTTGGTGTTGCCTGCCGCGACAGTCGATGCAAAATGCTCGATCAACTGGAACTTCTATCGATCATCCCGCGTACCCCTGCCCCGCGCCGCGCGACCCAACCCTTTTCCATCCCGATCCTGCATTCTGTCCAACGCGTGGTAGAAGTTCGCTCAGGTCGTAGTGTACGAAGCACTATAAGTAACTTCTCTCTCTCTCTCTCTCTCTCTCTCTCTCTCTCTCTCTCTCTCTCTCTCTCTCTCTCTCTCTCTCTCTATCTATCTCTCTCTCTCTCTCTCTCTCTCTCTCTCTCTCTCTCTCTCTCTCTCTCTCTCGCTCTCGCTCTTTTACGTCGAGTCGTTCTTTCGCTCGCTCACTCGCTCATTTTCTTTCTGTTTCTCTCTTTCACTTTCGAAGTCGTATCGACGAGAGAGAGGAAGAGAGAGAGAGAGAGAGAGAGAGAGGGGGGAGAGAGAGAGAGAGAGAGAGGCAGAGAGGAGGGGGAGGAAGGAAACGACTGCTTCTCCGTACTTTTCAATTACCCTCGGATTGTGTCGCGCCGTTCGTTGATTGGCTGCAAATTCGTGAACGGAATCCGGAACACGTAATAAATGTTTTATGCGTTCTCAGCTATTCTCTCCGTTGCAGCCAGCTATCGCTTCCGCGAGATATTTCCAGGAGCCGGCTGTTTTGCGTCTCGTCGTGGCCTTTTCCCTTTGTCTCGGTAAACGAAGGTATCAGAAAGGAGGCGACTCAATGTTTCTCTATTACCGACGCGTGACACATCGTTCCGCACAAAGAGTACGTACAACGGTAGATCGAAAAAGGATCATTGAACGGGCGCAGTACCTTGATATATATATATATATATATATATATATATATATATATATATTGCAAAGCGCTGCTCTGAAAGTGGCCTGATTGCAAGAGCTAAACCCCCTTTGTGATAACGCCGCGTTCACAGACTAGCGCGATCGTTAGAGCGTGAACAGCGCCGGGGAAAAATTGTAGCCGCTGCCCGACGTGATAATTTGTTGTGTCAACAAACTCAATCTTGCGTTTGGTTTGCTCTCGCACCGCGCGTCGCGGTCGGTCAATCCGATTAAAATATTTCTGCGGCTGCAACTCCCTCCGATTAATCCCGCGGAATATTGCGCGATGTCGACCGTCGTCTCCGAGACCGCGAGACTTTTTCTAACGACTATTAACGACGCATGAGCAGTTTTCCTTTCCCCTTTTATTTTTCTTTCTTTACCGATATTCCAAACGTTTCCCTGCGGTGACATGCAATTTTCGCGTTTTATCTAATCGCGTTTTCCTAATCCCGGGGAAGGGACCGATTCTTAACATTGCGACTTGCCTTCCGTACAACAAGATCGTACTACAATCATCTTCGCGCCGTAAATTTGCGTCCGTTCTGTCCGAACGAGCGAGATAACGTAGATAGCATTCCTCTGTGCATTGACTCTCCTCCCTCCCTCCCTCCCTCCCTCCGTCTGTCCCTGCTCTTTCTCCTTCCGCCACGACGGTCTCGGTGATCGTCGCGGGAACAAGCGCATCGATATCGAGCGCCCGGCTTAATAAGCAGGACAATAATTAACGGAGGTATGTCTATTATGGGGCTATTACAGTTCAACCCTTCTATATAAATGCGCCTCACCCCTCCTCCCCCCCCCCCTCCATCGCACCGGCGCAATATGCGTACGTCGCACACATACGAACACGCGCCTCTACCTTATCTAGTAGGGTTCTAGCCACGCGTTTTCTGCGTGTGTGAACGCACGTTTGTTCCCGCGTGCAAACACGCGTGTGGGGAGCACCTCCTCCCCGTGTTACGTTACGTACATGCGCACGCGTCACACACACACACATGCATACACATATTCATGTACGCACTTATGTACGTATATTTATATATAAATATGTATGTATCTCTCAGCGCGCAAGGAGAATATAATTACATCAATTAACGTACACCCTGCCGCGCGCATACACCCGTAAAACCGCCCCTACAAGGACGCCCGCGCGCGCTAAGTCCACACCTACCCCATCCCCGGCTTGTTATCACGAGCTCGACTCTCGCACCGCACCTAAATATAAACCGGTTCGTGTACGTGGGCGCGCTATGGCTGTCGGAGGCTGTGTCCCATTGACCCTGTGCAGCATCCACCACCACTCACCCTTCTATGCGCCGCGAGGATTTTGGCCGAGCGCTTTTTTTATTTTTTTCAAGCTCGCGTATCCTCGCGCTCTGTACAGCCGACTCCATTATTACGAATAAGTGATTTCCGTATATGTATAAAATTTGACTCGGCTCTCTCGGCCGCTCGGCTCGGCGGACGCGCGATATTCCGCCGTGCGGCGGACACGATGGAGTTATGTATGGTTAAAATTCGTTGATGTTTGGAACGTATAGTCGGAGGAAGTGCATTCGCTTGCGCGCGCGCGCGCGTCCACCATGTCGTCGCCGATGAAGATTCACGCGCGGAGGCGCGGAGGCGCATTGTAGCTTTTTCCGTGTAGCTGTGTAACAGTTATCTCGATAATAGCGAGTGCTGCGAGCGCGAGTTTCGCAGTTGCTGCCGCGTTAGCCACGGTAACTAAAGCTTAAGCGAGCGGTAATACCCGAAGCGACGAGCTTGCAGCTCGGTTAAAAACACGAAAAGGCGGCAGCGAGATGCGCCTTTTAAAGCTCGTTTAGCGCTGGAAAACCGACCGCGGCCCATTCAGGACCTCAAAGAAATGAAACGGTGTAAACGAGATCGCTCCTACGGTACAAGTGCGAGCTCTGCCTTTAGAGGCTTCGGCTTTATTGTTTGCAGTTGCAGCTGAAAGAGGTGACGTAAATACGTTCTCTTTCAACACGGTTACCCCAATATCGCAAATTATATCCGCGAGAATCGTCGATCCTCGAAGCGCCCGGCGCGTGAAAACGAATCGCGCGCTCGCGCGACTTTCCGTCGCTTAATGAACGTCGTTTTCGTCGTTTCATCGTCGCATCGCATTGTGCCGGCAATCTCAAGAGTCCGACTAATCAGAGTTGTTCGCGGCGAACTGTAACCGAGCTCCCGTTGATTTGGAATAAATAACAAATGCTTTTAACAGCGACGAGTAAGGTAATAGCGCAAATTGCAAATTTTTAACGATTCCGTCACGAGTCAGACTCGTCGCCGGACGTGTCATTTATGTGAGCGCAGCGCGATTTCTCTTTTGCCGGAAATGCATGGTGAATTTCATGGAAACGACTATACAAGCGTGTATCGCAACAAACGTACTGCTCGCACACGCAGATCTATGATACGTGCGCAGGTCGTTAGAGAGATTTAAACATATTTCACGTGTATGATTATTACGCTCTGAAATCATTTGTTCCCGAAAGTAATTTTGCAATGAGATTACACGTAAAGGGAAATGGCATATGTTGTGCATCCGCTCGGTAAATTAATGCTTCTGTTAGAGCGAATTCTATTTTCTGTGTATTACGTTCGGTTTAACGGCCGTACTCTCGTGAATATTGCGCGCCGCAAATACGAAGCGACGAAGAAAATTTGGGATTACTAGCCGTAATTTTACGGCGTCTGTTTTCAGGGCGCGAACACGCGCGCGCCTCGAAATGACGTTAAATTGACGGAACATTTGCGAAATATTCCGTTTTGTCGTGAGGAATGTGTACATTTTTTATCTTGTATAATTGGTGTATTTAATTCGAAGCGTATCTACGTTTTATTGCGCTCAGTGTTGCGTCAGCGTTGTATCGCGTTGTATCAGCGTGACGGTGAAATTGAATCACGGATGGTACATATTACGCGCGATATTAGCGCGTTGCGAGTTGGAATACCGATTGTTTGCCGGAATAAAAGCGCATTTGAAATTAATAATCCCAGCAATATATATTCGTCAAAAGCATTGCGTGCTTACGTAAATTGCGAGCGAATAAATTCTCGTCGAAAGTCCATTATGCAAATATTATTGAGCGGGAAGATGCACCCGAGAAAGAGAGAGAGAGAGAGAGAGAGAGAGAGAGAGAGAGGCGCTTCTTAAGAGCTCGCTAGAAAAAAAAGAGAAAGGAGGGCGAAGGGATGGGAGGGGAGGGGGAGAAATAGACGTGGTATGAAATACATAAAATTTCACCGCGTGAGGGGCGTAACGGCCAAAGTTTGTTAATAAGACATGGGAGAGATTGCTCGTTACCGGGGACGTCGGTTGTTAAATCCGCGTGGGGTTTCCGTTCGGTTGATACGCGATATAACGCCTCGGAACCGATTAGACGGCCCGCGCGAAAAGGGAAAGTCATCGGATCGTTGATCGAAATGAGCCAATAAAACGGAGCGCGCGGGCGCGCGAAACCGGGAGAGGCTCCAATCTCGCGTACGAGGGAAAGCGACGAGGAAAAAAACAGGCTGTCACGTTTAATCATGGTGTCGCTCCTTGGATCGGCCACCGTCTGCGCCGTTGAAATTTTTAAAAGAGCCGTAAATCCGCTGTTATCCGCAGTCCTGTAGGAGACAGAGGTAGCTGGAATTCCAGCTTGACGGGCACCCAGGGAGCATTCGTGATACTCGTTAAAGTTTGATTAGACTTTGATTGCCGGCGGAAAGCGGACCAATTTAAACTCCACCTCGCGCAGACTGCGAAAGCAAAAAAAACGCGGTGGGAGGAAGCAAGAGGCAAGGGAGGGGGGGAAAGAGACACGGAGAGAGAAAGAGAAAAATGAAGAGAAGGAGAGAGAGAGGGAGGGAGGGAAGGAGAGAAGGAGTGGAACGACATCCGGCGACCAAGTGAACGCGGGCGTTACGTCTCGGCTTTGCCGCGCGTTCTTTCCATGAAAGAATTTAGTCGAGAGCAGCAGAGTTACCTGTCCTTCGCTTATATGTACAGCCAACCGACGCGCGGACAGTGTGTTTACACCGGGATATGTCCCAGACACCAAGAGTAATTAAACTTTTTCCAGTGTGAAATTGCAGGGCCACGCCGGTGCGCTGCTGAATGGCGGACGAGCGGGGAAGCGGGAGGGCACAGTTGCTCGATCGC